TGCGATCCGTTGCCGGACACGGAAAAAGACAAAAGACAAAAAAAAAAACAAAAAAAACCCATTAAACTATAAATGTTTAAAAATTTATTTTGGGTGGATATTTTACAATTAACATAGCCTATTAGTACAATTATATATGTTAATAATTTGAAAATGATTAAGGTATATTGGGGATGTACCACAATTGATTGTTGTGGTAAATGTGAGAGTGCTAACCTGGGATGCATGTGAGTAGGGACTAGCATAGATGAGTAAGACTTCAGAAAACCATGTTGTGTAAAAAATAGTTAAAAGGTTTTGATCTGGAGACAGGAGGTCTTAAAGGAATAACTAGATATTTTAAAAGGTGTATGTTGCTTTAGTGGGAAGGAATAAATATTATTTGTAATTCAGGATAATGGCAATGGAGCTGCTATAGTTTATTTTATTTTATTTTTTTCCTTTTTGTCTTTTTTCGTGACCAGCAACGGATCGCAACCCTCAGTGTCGCGCCCGTACCGGGCCGGGACCGGTCACGGGATCGCAACCCTCGGTGTTGCTCCCACCCCTCGCTCAGCCAGTGAGCGGCCGGTCTGTATGTGGGATCCAAAACCTCGGTGGGAGCGCCACCGTGCTTCCCAATCAGCGCACTATAGCAGTGCGCCACCGGGCCGGCCCAAGCTGCTATAGTTTAAATGTCCCCCAAAAACTCATACTGAAGCTTGATCCCACTTGTACTAGTATTAAGAGGGTGGGAAATCCAACCATGTTATTTCAAAGGTGTGGCCTTTGGGAGGGGGTTGGATTATGAGGGCTCTGTCCTCATGAATGGATTAATGGATTAACAGATACATAGATTATCATGGGAGTGGCACTGGTGGCTTTATAAGGACGGCAAGTGAGCACATTTAGCATGCTAAGTTCCCTCACTATATAATACCCTATACCATCTCAGGACTCTACAGAGTCCCCACCAGGAAAAAGGCCCTCACCAGATGTGTTCACTGGACCTTGGACTTCCCAGCTGCCAAAACTGTGAGGAAGAAATACTGGTTCCTACCAGTGACTGGAATTGCGTATGTCAGAAAGAGCACATATATTTTACATCAAATAGGAGATTAAATTAGATTACCTGTTATTTGCCTTTTTCAAATTTAAAATTCAGCAAATAGAGTGAGGATTTCAAAGATTGAGCTTAATAATTTACATGAAATTAGATACTAGAATAGTACTGCCTCTGTTTCAGAGTGAAAATATAATTGAGGAAGAGAGAAGAGGGCTATCTGAGTAAATATTGACATTGCTGCGTAAGAGTAGCTTTGTATAGAGAACCAAAATAAAAATATATCAACTTCATATTTATTAAAAGGAACAAACCAAAACAAAACCTGATTTCAGACATTGGGGCTTGTATGGTTTGCAAACTGTAGCAACATTCTGTAAGAGTTAAAAATGCCTTGTTATCAAAACGAGCAATTTTAAACTGAACTGCACATGGGGATTCATTGCCACCAGATTTTCTATTCTTGACTAATTTAACAAAGAGGTTTTTTGGTTTTTTTTTTCCTTTTTTTTTTTACTGACCGGTAACGGGATCGCAACCCTCGGTGTTGCGATTTTTTTTTTTTTCCTTTTTTTTTTTACTGACCAGTAACGGGATCGCAACCCTCGGTGTTGCGACTGCACTGTGCTCAGCCAGTGAGCGGGAACCGGTCTCCACATGGGATCCGAACCCTCGGCGGGAGCGCCACCACGCTCCCAAGCGGCGTACTCTCCAGTGTGCCACCGGACCGGCTCTAACAAAGAGTTTTTAACTGGGTTTTCCTCATGTGTTAAAGTATGAAAGATTAGATAGAAATATGAGAGTTCTGAAGAAAAGAAGTTTTTAGCCTCATGAGAAAGAATTCTAGAGAGAGGAAAAAAAAACTAATCTTAATATATGCTCTTAACTTCCCACTATCTACAAATGACATTTTAATACTTTAATAGGGCTTGATTTATACTACATGTTAACTATAAATAGTTTAAATTTCAATACATGGGGCTGGCCCTTGGCTCACTCGGGAAAGTGTGGTGCTGATAAGACCAAGGCCATGGGTTTGGATCCCATATAGGGATGGCCTGTTCGCTCACTGGATGAGCGTGGTGCTGACAATACCAAGTCAAGGGTTAAGATCCCCTTACTGGTCATCTTTAAAAAAAAAAAAATTCAATATATGGATTAAAATGGAGGGAAGGAATCCTAAAGTACATTTTTAACTTTGCCTCTTTATCATGCTATTAAGCTGGTGTTTAGGCAAGGATTGAATGAAACTACTCTAGCAAAATACCAGTTGAATTTCTTTAATCCTTTAAAATATGCCCTGAGCATTTATAATATCTACCCAACTATATAAAAAATAATAGAAATACAATTATTTTGTCATATATTATTTGCTTATAATGTGTATTTCCTCAAATCATTTTTTCGGTGTGCATTGCAAGATAATTTTCACATGTATAATATTCAGTTTTCTTTATTTTTTTCCCACTTTTTCGTCTTTCTACTAAAATGGACACTGATAATTGTTCAAACTGTGGTTTTATTGAAACTCATCATCCTAAAAAGAGCATGTTCAGGGTTTGATATATTTAGACAGCAAAAAAAAGGTTTAATGCCCACTGCAAGACATGCCAAGTGGTGAAAGATACCACTTCATTTTCCAACAGCAATAAATAAGATAGCCAAAGTCCCTGCCTCTGTAAAGCTTACATTCTACAAGGCAAGATACTAATAGAGGCATAATTATAAGGGCAATAATGTTAGTAGAGAGTGCTAGTAAAGTGGAGAAGATCTTGATGAAGTCCCATTTAACTTAAGATCTGAAGGAACTGAAGAATTTAACTTGGTTAAGTGGTTGTAGGTGGGGTAAGTGGGCGGG